CTAAACATGCCCAGTTCCCTCAGCCTCTCCTCATAGGACTTGTTCTCTAGACCCCTCACCAGCTTGGTGACTCTCCTCTGGACACACTCCAGCACTTCAAAGCCCTTCCTGTAGCGAGGGTCCCAAAACTGAACACAGTACTCAAGGTGAGGTCTCACCAGTGCTGAGTATAGAGGCACGATGACTTCTCTACTCCTGCTGGCCACACTATTCCTCATACAGGCCAGGATGTCGTTGGCCTTCTTGGCCACCTGGGCAAGAAGCCCTCATGCATCTCAGGTGGTCAGCATTACACTGATATCTGCTCAGCAAATAGTGAGATAATCAACCTGTGCTGAGGCTGATGACCAACAACAGGGCAGCAAAACATCTCCTTTCTGAGATGCCCCTGGTACTTGCCCTAAGGCAAGGATACTATTTTCTTGGGGTGCCTCAAGCAGCCCTTTTTAATTTGGCTGGTGCAAGGGCTAGCCCTGGGCAGCCTTGAGAGCTGTTCTCAGCCCTCTTGCACTTTCTAATCACACATTGTCCCAGATACAGCTTTCTCATGCTTGTAATTTTGTACAAGCTCAGGTGTGATGCCTAAGGGGAGAGCTTTGGGCTGGCTTATCTCCTGCTGTCTTACACCTCATATGTAGGTATTAACATTGTGGGTCCGGTCTGTTGTTGCAGTGCCCTTCTTCCTTGCTTTAGAGGAGCCCATAGTGAAAAAGGGTGAAAATGCAGATCCAGTCTGCAAACCGAGACTTCAGGCTGTATTTTTAGCTTCCCAGTCCTTTTGCTTTTTTTCCCCCATGTGTCTAAATCTCCTAATTTAGCAATCACAGCTGGTTCCTGGACTGAATACTTTTTTTCCAGAAATGTCCCCCTTCTCCAGCACCTTAAGTTAGGGATACTTAGATTTATTTCAGGTTGAAAAGAAGCTGCGGTTGAAAATTCAAGTAATGTTCAGCGTTTGGTCAAAGCCCGTTTCCTCCAAAGATATCTTTGATTAAGTGAGAAACTCCCCCATTTCCAACATCTCCCATCCAAATGCTCACTCAGCTCCACCTGACTCCTTTGGGCTGTCCTTTCCTCCCTAGGGAAACACTGGTCAGAAACTGGGATGCCTGCAAATATCATGAGTCCATGTCCGTAGCAAGGAAGATGCCCTGAAGATGCTCATGATAGATTCTGATTCTGACAGCCCCATTCAGCTGATCATCCCAGATAAACTGGAGGAAAACAGAGGCAAAGAGGAGATGACCAGATAAGAAACACTAATGTGTCACTTCTGCAGCACCAAGCTTGGTCTATGGAGTCCTCCCTGGGAGGAGATGGTCTCAGATAGCCCCTAAAGCTACAGGATGGCCCAAAGCCCTGCCAGAAGCAAAACTCCCCAATCAGGACACCTGCCTAATTAATGGATCTCAGTGGATCACATTTCCTTTCTCCCCATGTCAGAGCCTGTCAGCCAAAATTTGGATACAATGCTCAGCTCTGTGGTGTTGATTTACTAACATACAGCTTCTGCAAGCTTTCTCCCCAGTGTGCATTAAAGCACTGGTGGATGTTGGTAAAACAGATGGTTGGTTCCTGTGAAAAAATATAAATATCATGAGTGCTTGCCAAGATATGGGGGTTTTCATGTTCTTCATGATTCTCTTTGTATTGTAGGAATAGGCTCCCTGAGGAAAACTTGAGACCCAGACTGAGCTGAAGGAAAGTGACTGTGGTTTTCTCATGCAGTGTGTCTGCTGCCCATTAAATCCCGCAGACAAGAAGTGAGACCCCCATCTGTTGGCTATCTATCCGTCTGGCAGGAGTTTGGCCTTGCCATGATGTAAGAGGTGGACAGAGAACAGCATGGGGTTTTGCTGATTTATTATTGCCACCTGAACCATGTTGATTTGTTTCATTTGGGGGGGCAGTGGGATTGTGGGGAATCCCTGCCTTAAACCTAAGCTTTGACCATGCCAGCCCTAAATTTAGACCCTATCCCTTTTGTTAATGAAATGTGAAGCGTGAATGTGGCATAAATAGGAAAATTTCTTGGTAATTCTTTAGCACCTTCTGCCTAGTAGCTTGTAATAATTTGCATTACCTTTCTTTTCACATTGACCTCTGAGGAATATAGAAGTCTCTGCTACCAAAGACTGCCCTTATTCACCAAATTGAGCAGTTTTGTGATCACAATGAGGTACCCCAGGGGCAGGGAGGGAACCGACAGAGCTGGATAAGTGGTTCAGATAGGCTGGATGCAGCCCAGAGAGCATCAGTCATCCAGCTGACACAGGCATAAACCTGTAAATCTCATTGGGTTCTGCGGTGCGATTGGCAGCTATGCTCAGTGCAAACTCCCCTGTGTGTGCAAATGGCTTCTGCTCCTTTCTGATAAGGACAGATTTGCTCAAAACTCCCTCCTCCCCTCCTTGGAAACCTCATTCCAGGTGGGGTCTGCTGAGGTGGGACTCGGTGGCTCTGTGACATAGATCCAGTAGGGAATATCCTGAGCAGACACTGCTGGGTTGCACTGGAGGTTGCTGTCACAGCAATGCATAATGCCGACAAACCCCAAGGCTGGCTCATTTCCTAAAACAAGCATTCCTAGGATGAGCAGAAAATATTTTAAAGAGGTTGCGGCAGGATATCAGAAGAGTTGGGGGTCAGAACCATCTTCTGAGGACTTGCTGAGTTATTTGTCTCTGCTCCTTGGCTTTCCCCATCTGTAAGGGGAGACCCAAGTGTGTCTGTGGAGGCCTTGACTGGCTGAGATATGAGGCAGGATGAAACCCATTATCCCTGCGATATCCCTCTGACCCCTTCAGGGATGTTTCTGGGGTGGAGATAGACAGCTCTGGTTCAGCCCTCAAGTCATTACAGGTTGTGGGGTTTCAATTCATTCCTCCTTCATCCCTTCCCTTCCAAGCACACTCACTTTGCAAAATCAAAGCACTTGTCTGCACCGTACAGCCAGCTCACAGCTGTATGCAGATGGACAGAGGGCAATGCACCACATGTCTGCTCTTAGGTTAATAGTCACGGTAAATTAGCCACCCTTCCCATGCAACAGATGAGTACTTGGAGACTCATCACACTCTTTGTCCTCATTTCGCACCCACAAATTTTCCTGCTTCTCTAGGTATCATTCCACCATGGTCTTCAAAGGTGGACCTGCCATTTTCTCGGGGATCAGGTGGTGCATCAGAAGGGATAATGGTCACAGGTCTCTGTTGTTGGCCCCTGCTCTTCTCCTAGCCACAAGCACAGGATTGGTGACAGCTCTGCCTCCTCCTCCACCCACATCCCCAGGGTTGAGGCTCATCCTGCATCCTCAGCATCCACAGTGCAGATTTCTGCACCAAAGCC